GTTTCAAGTCTTCTTTCATACAGCATGATGTTAACTTCGCAAATTATGGCCTCATATAGAATCAAATAGATAAAGCATGGTAAATATTGGGGCATGTGTACTGTGTGATTGACAGTAATGTCGTCCAATGGATGACGTCGCAATGGGTTATCACTTGTTTTTTTCTTTTGTTCCCATTCAGCTGCTTTACATGTCTGTCATGAATTTCTGCAAGTGTGAAGGGACAGTCTCTGCTGAGGAGGCAGTGATGTGTCGAATAGGTCTTCATCCTCCTTGCTCCCAATTACAAAATGAGTAAGTGGGTGTCTTCTCTGACTTCATCTATCTTGCAGAGATGTGGACTGCAGTGCAACTCAAGCCCATTTTCCGTCTTCACTTCCTTTCACTCTCTCTGATGTCTTCATTTGTTTCGCAGATGCTCTCCACACCATCGGGGCTTCCCCAAGAGTCCTCAGATATATTTAAAGAGTCTGATTTATCAAAGCTAACTCCAGGCATCTTTAGATTCCTTTCAGCTGCTTAAAATGTGCCTTTCCTTAAAAGTGCCTTTTAACCAAATTACTCTATTAAAAGGGACTGTTTGTACTAGACCTCCAAAAAAATCTCTCTAAACAATTTCCCAAAATATTCAAGTATGTAACTGTGACACCAGGCTCTGTGAATGTTCCTTTCATATGTCCTTGAGAGAGCCCTTTTCCTTTAATTAAAGGTTATGTAGTAATTGATATTTAAATGCAGCAAAGAATGAAAATGCCCTTTTTGTTAGAATAAGCATGAAAAATTACTCCAATGATCCTGCACTGAGGCAGGGAAAGTAGCAAATGTGCCTAATTGGGCTCGCAGCCTTAAGTGTGCTCAGCAGGATGCAACTAATAAACCAAACCTCTGGGTCTGAAACGTGTTCAAGTGTTGGCCTGCAGGAATAACAGTTATCTCAGGGGCAGTAGACCACTGTCAAAACAGTTTGAGAGTGTGTGTCATACACCCTCAGACATAGCTGTGGGTTTTATTTTTATGTTTTCATTGGGTAGAATTTATGTGAAATGAAGAAATGTCTTTTGACAATTGGTGTGCAGCAAACAAATGCGTTTGCTGTTTGCAAGCCAAACGCATTCAGCCATGATTAATAGCGCTGCAAAAATGAATGAGCCATACGGTGTAGGTGTCAGCTCACTTTTCTGTATGAGCAGAAATCAATAGAGATATTTCAGAAACATTGCACACTGTATAGTATATGGTATCCACTGTAATTGGAGACTTCAAGCAGTCAGCAACTCACTTGCTCCAACTTGGCATGCACAACAGTTTAATTATACAGTACACTAATAACATATGCCTTTCTATAGAGCTGTGTGGTCATTCAGAATTCATCCTGTAATACTAATGAGGATTTATGCACCGTGCTTCAAGACGACGCAACTGAATTCTCCTACTTAAGTCAAGAGTGTGACACTCAGTTTGATTGATCTTGGATCACTTGCAACGAGTAAAAGTTAAGGTTTGCTGGAGTGCTGACCTAGTCACATTAGGGCTGGGTGATAAAACGATAAAGATAATTATTGTGATATACATTTTCCTCGGTAGAAATATAAGACATGGTCGATACAATGTTGATAGAACTCATTTCATCCAGGTTTTGACAGACAACACGAACAGATAATAGTTTATAAATTCATGATGAGCATCTACTGTGTATTTAAACATAACACTTGAACGGTTACGGTTATGAGCTGCATCTTCACTGACTTCAAACACTGAGTACATTTATTTGCTTTTAACGAAAAGCCAATTGCACTGTATAAAATGCCAAATGTTAAAGGCCACAGTTAAGATTGCACTGACAAATAAAACTCCATAGCATCGCCTGACTCTACCTGCAGCTCCCTGGCAGCTGTTCTCATCTCACGCAGGCAGTTGCCAGCGCTTATGTGATTCTGATCAACAGTAGTTGTTTTGCTTGGAGCAGCAGGGACAGAAATGAGTGTGCACATCCTTAATTCAGAGCAGATGGAATCTAAATGGATGTGCCATGGACTGTACGAGGTCACATTGAAAGACTCAATTGGAGCGTTTGGGTTATTAAATTTGCAGACTCCTCTGAGCATCACAACCAGCCAGGTGGGACTACCGTATTTGTGTTTCAGCAAATCACACTACATGCAGTTACTATAGAGAAACTGTGCAATTGGAAACTAGAAGTTATGTATTTCTAATGAAGTATCCATGTATATGCCTCCCCAACCATGATAACTTGGTGATTACAGCAGCCAAGTGAGAACTGTTATATATGTAAAGTATATATGTTCTTGGGTTGATAATTGATTACTGCAGTGGGCCTGTATCACATACACACATGTAATGTTTTAATATGAGTATAATGATGAATTTGGCTCAGTGCGTCGAAGCCCCCACGTCTAATTTCTTCTTTCTAAATTCAATCATGAAGCTGATCCACCACTAAACTTCATTATTCCTAATTGCAGGAAATTCTGTTGGATCTTGAAAGAAAAAACTGTGAGATGACTGCTGAGAATAACTGAAATAATTATATTAAAGTCATCTTCCCTACAAGATTTTATTTTCACTGCCGTATCGCAAAAGGCAACAGAGCATCACAGGCTTTTCCAGTGAGTTTACTGATTATCTGCAATTCTTATCGCACCAAGGATTTATTACTAGACAGAAGGTACAGTAGATAAGAAAAATTATTTTACGTTTTTTAACACATGTAAAATAACCTCAGCTGTTGTAAAAGTCAATAAAGCGTTGTCATGAGTGACTGCAATCGAAAACAATCACAAAAAATCAAACATCGGATGTTAAATATTACCTCATAAAAATGTGGCTGTTAATGGGTATTTCCAGGACTTTTCCTAACCAGTTTAGTTTTACTCATTTGATTGAATCATGAATCAATTATGGTTTGTCCTGAGAGCTTTTTTCAAAATTCATCCTAAGAAAGAAGGACTATACACTCCAGTTTTTATAGCCAGGCACCTTGTGTCGCTTTCAGTACTCATAAATATCAAAGTGCATTTCATCACTGCTCATTTGGTATGACCTGATTCCAAGCTTAACAATAAAACAGTGGTGTCTTGCTTCTCCAAACATTTTCTACCCATAAATTTAATTAGAGCAAACATCTACCATTGCTAAATTTATGCACCAGCCCTGGAGCTAGCTCCTGCATGGTAAATGCAAAGACATCTCCGGGATGCTAATGGGGGGAGGTTAGAGAGCTGAGGTCAGCAGCTTTAGTTGAACTTAACTCTATCCTGGGCTCTGAAATGTTCCCTGGAAGCTGGACTGTAGCCTTTAGGGACTGTCACAAAGTGCTTAGAGAGGTCGTCACTAAGGGATTGCCCTCATTGCAGAGTAAAGGATGAGGAACTCCATGGTGCTTCTGCTATAAATGCAAAACACAAAAAGGCTACAACCCCTGGTTTTAAGTAACGGTTGAGTCCTTGTGGCGTGTGATGCCACTCACATGAAGCGACCATTTAAAAGGCACATTGTAGTGAGGGTTCATTTTTACCGCCGGCTAATTACTATTGATTCCACATTTTAATACATCAAGTAGTGATTAATGGGACTATATGACATCCATTCAGATACCATAGCTTTGATTGACAAGCTGACACTTACACACTTACACACATGAACGTGTACAAAATGCTAACTCTGAAGTTGGTGAGTATTAACTAATGGAAAATTTGTAGTACATGTACTCATTTAATAATATTGAAATATAAATATTAAAAATCCAGAATGATGTATACAGAAGCATATATCTGTAATAATACATTTTTATTGATGAAGCACTTTTAACAATGCTCAGACACTACACACAGGTTAAAAACAGAAAGCAAATAAAAGCACAATATAAAACACAATGAAATAGAAAATACCCATCACAATCATACATTAAAATATAAGATAAAGATCGTAATCAAATAAACAGTTCTGAAGATATTTAGATCTAAACCTCACTATTAATCTTCATGGGTTAGTGATATGTCCAGCCTAAAGGTCATAGTGTTATCTTAAACCTTTTTTTTTTTAAAGCATTTATTTTTTATGTCCTTTTCATTTCCCACCACGTCCGTTTGATTCAGTGTAATGTAAAAGCCATTTCCATCTATTCATCGTCAGAAGGTCAAAATGACTTTGACATTAATATATAAACAAGGGCAGAATCTGAATGTCCCCTGGACACCCATCTGTACACAGCTGGCCATGAGACCACGAGCCAACAGCTTCAGTGTGTTTCATGGACACGTTCCAATCATTAATCCATAAGAAGTGCACTTACATAAGCACATGCTGCTACATATATTTGTTATCAAAAGAGGAAATCAATCAAAGATTTAGTTCATACCCTCTGTCCGGATAGAGAAAAAAGTGAATTACATTTTTGAATGGTTGTTTAAAGGAGGTCCTATTCTAATATGCTTAATGTGCAGTCCATTTTAGTCCAAAAATCAATCATAGCTGCAGTAACACATTTATAAAAGTGCTGTGAGAATGTGAGCAACACCACAGAGGGCACATGTCACTGATCAGTGACATGGGCCCTAGAATCGAATAATTTATAATTACATTAATTAATTTGTTGCTTCAATTTGGCATGATCCCTTTTGTATTTAATATTTTTACATTCCCATTGGGCCTCAGTGACTAAACGCTATTTAAAAGCATTTACAAGTTTAAAAAAGGATATAAAACATTGCCTTTGCCAGAAAGCAGTGACTATGCTCCATGTGACCACCAATTAAACACAATGCAAATTATGGTCTGTAATGTTAAGATTTAGAATTATTCAGTTTTTTAACATACAGGTAAACAATGCTTATTAATAGCAATAGTGGTAATCAAAATTTGTGACTTGTATTTTGAATTACACAACGAACAAACACAAGTCACACACAAAATCACCACCACTAACCTCCTCTATCTCCTTCACAAGAATCATGTGAAAACAGAGGTTAACAGAGAGGTGGAATTCTGGGTGCAGAATGAATCTAAGGAGGAGAGCCACTAAAGTACCTTTGAGCTCAACACAAACTCCTGAGTCAGACGTTACGAGAGGCTTTTGCTGGCAGCACACCATATGGCAAAAATCATGAGGATGGAAGGAGATAATGGCTGCTGTTAAACCAAGTTAACATCTGCTGTTCGGCTAAACTGACATCTGCAAAGACATAGCCCACTGATAAACGGCAAAATTTACATGAAATTCCACAAATAATATGATGTGTCACGATATCTATCACCCTGATGTGACATTGTATCGTAAAAAACGATTTGCAAATTTCTAATCCTGGTAGGTAATATTTCTCTGCCTTCCATGTCTACACTTGTCTTTCCTTAGTAAGATAAACTCCATATACTGCTTTAAAGCTGTCTGCTGCTTTTAAAACAGACAGGAGCAGCTCTTATGATTGGACATTACTCTGCCTGCTGATATTGTATTCCTTCTGCACATCATTTATTCCCGGCACTCTAGCCTCGTTTCATCTTTATAAACAGTGAGTTCAGTGAGTACAACCTGGCACGATGAGGAGAACTAAAAAACAAACGAGTATTCAACCCCAGTAAAACGTATAGATAGAAAGTGCAAGCAAGGTTTATATACCTGTCTGCTGATTGGGTGACCTCCCTGACCCTCCCACCAAACAAAAGGAAATAAGTCAAATCCTGTTGCACACTGTTTGACATCGCCCCAGGACAACATGTCACTCAATCTCTCAGTCAATACTCCAGGTGTGTAGGCGGGTGTGGGGAGTCAGGTGATAAGGGGACAGGAGGGAAAGTCCAGGGACATCTTGATGTAAAAGTGGCAGAAGACCAGATAGAGGGGTTGCGTCATGTCCATTCTGTGTCGTTGTATACACACAAATGTACCTAAATATACCAATATTATCTGTTATCAACAAAAGTGTACTTAAGTGATGACCTGTCAGGTGCTGCCGCTGCATCACGTCAGTGGAACCATTGCATTGTGATTACCAGGTGATGAAGTGATGCAGTCTTGTAATTAATGGTTTTGTTGACCATGCTAATGTTTCTGATAGATGCAGTGGAAGCCTATCAAGTGCACACTATTCAGTATTACTAGAAAGTCAAGTATCCATCACAATTAAGAGGCTAAATATGCTACATTTAAAGACTATTTAGTGTATTGTCAACATTATCTCTGTATTAGCTCAATTGCAAGGTCAAGTAGGACAGTCAGTTCTATTTTCATACTCTACTTTTCACACTCCAAAATCCCTTCACTCTACATGGCTCTGAATGCCTTATTTTACAATAGGCAGCACACAGGCAGCATAAAGACATAGAGGAGGCAGAGGTATGCAGACTTCACGTGTTGGCCAGGAAAAGGAACACGAGTACATAATGGAACACAGTTAGTAACAGTGACGTCAGAAACCAGATACAGTATATCAGCTTTGTCACTGTCAAGGATTTGCATGTAAGTGCTGTTGTTCAAGCAATTGTTCGAAAAAGTCCCTCAACTCTGATGCATTTTTATGTGAATATTTCAACTAAACATTTATTTCATAGAATTATAGCTTGTGAAAACAATCACAGGGATTCAGTAGGCTACTGATAAGATTAGTGGAATTAAAGAGTCAGTTTCAGACTTTCCCCCCCAGTTTTTTAAATTAAGCAGCCACTGTTTTGTACCTTATCATTTGCTGTTCCAATTTCGCAGGCATGTCGCCGCTAGAGCCAATCGAACACAGGCCACTAAAAAACACACGCTGAACAAAAACATGCCCCCATTGAGGACACTCATTTCAGGAATAAAAAAAACACCCTCTTGGTCAACTGCTTCTCACTGGCTCTTGTAATAGATGATATTGTCTCGGCTGTTGACCAGGGACTGAAACTGACTATCTGCTGAGGATCCTTAAGTGTATACTCATAAAATGTCAGTACAGAAGAGAAACTATGTTTTAAGCATGACAGGAGAATACATTAAACAGTACACTTTGTCTTCTTCCATGATTACAGTATTAGGAATGTGCAACACTTTCAGTTGCATCAGCACAACATTAGGTGCCTGGTCAGGAAGCGATGTGACAGCGTGCAGGAAATGTAAATGTGGACTTTGAAGAATATGTATATACTCATTTCTTACTAATATCCAGTGCTGATAGTTTTATAACATCTTAACTTCAACCAGCTAGTTTTTAGTCCTGTCTAGTTTATACCCTGAAGGTGGTGTTCTTCCAAAACAAGAATAAATGTGAAATACATTTTTTTTGTTGAATTAAAATGATTAAGTATTCACATACTTGCATCTCTTCTGCATTGGTGGCATCTGCAACTTCTACCTGTAGGAAATGCACGCTATTCAAAGGTGTTTAAAGAAAATTATATCTGTTTTTTCCCCTTCTTTGCATTCAGTATTCAGACCAAAAGCACCAATGTGCCGATGAAATACGATCTGATGAAAGTA